TTAAATCAGGAAAATAAATCTTGATTTCTTCATCAGACTAGAGAGACTCTATTTTATTAAATAACTCTTTCAGATCAGGCAAGTGCCTGACTTAATAAAAATCAAAGACTATGCAATTTGGCCATATTTGGGGTTACAATGCACAGTAAAATGATGGCATTCAAAGCTTACTGAGAGGTATCTACCAAACACTAAGGCTGTGGTGCATTCCAGAGATTGGGAATATTAGATTGCTAGACATGTGCAATAAACAGAATGTATGGTGAGAAGATTGTTTTGCTTTTTTCCCCTTCCCTGTCTTGGGCAAGCCTTCAGTGTCAGCAGACTCTGTTTGCTTGTTGGCAGTGACTGGACCACAGCTGTACTCCAGGGCCCTGCTCTGCCCTTTGGAAACTTGGGGGGAAATAAAACATTGGTTGACTAACCAGTCAACAGCTAACATCCAGCTAACAAATGGACACAAGTAGAGCTGTGTGGGAGGGAGGCCATGCTCCAGAATTGCCTGACAGCTTCATCTGCCTCTCGCTGGATATTGGCCTGCATGTGACCTGTGAAGCTCTGGGGACATGGGGCAGTTTCTGCTTCTCCCACCAGTCCCCTCAGGGAGATCCAACACCTGTAGATTGTACTTGCTGCATCCTTCTTTGTCACGGGCTTTTGTGTTGACAAAGCCAATGCAGCAGCAGAGATGCTAAGGTCAGAGTTGTCTGCAGAGACACAAAAGTCAGCAGCTGCAGTTGCTGGTTTTGATACATGATCATATGCAAGATGACATCGTTTGTGCTCCTTTGCTTGGAAGCTCATTTCCCCTCCTGCCTGCAGTTGTTAGCAGCCATGTGGCATCCTGACATTTCATCTTTATTAACTTCTTGACATCTTTATTAACTATCTTGACAGATAGCCTTTTGGGGCTTACTGGGAGATTAATTGTTTTCAGGAAGCTTTTAGACTGTTAGCAAGGTTTCATATTTTCTTTCCCCATTCTTTCAAACAGGAGACTCTAATAAAGCACTATGAGACGTATTTAAATGCTCTGAGGATGCCAGGAACATTACTCCTAGTGTCCCCCTGTCCCCCAGTTCCTCTGCTCTTTGCAGCCCAGAGCTGAAAACAACAAGGGATGGGGGGGGGGGGGGGGGCGACACAGTTTTGAGAAGGCCACCGGCTGCAGCCATCATTGCAGCCACTTTAGTTAGATTTTCCCAGTGGCATTTTTCCAGGGGGAAAAAAAAAAAGAGCTTACAAGCCTGGCTATTTTTTTTATAGTCAATGCATGTGATTAGCAGTATTTATAAAAACTGTGCAGAAAACAGCATCTCAGGAAAAGGAAAAGAACATGCAGATGCACTGAGCGAAAGGAGAAATTAACAGACTTTGAAGTCAGCAAAAGTGCCTGATTAAGGATTTAAAAATCAGAATTTTGCAATTTGGCTGTGCTGTGGGTTTCTAAAGCATAATGTAGTGATGGCTTTTGAGGCCTATGGAAGCTATTTTGTAAATGACTGCATGTGTAATGCCATCTGAAGATACCAGCAACATAAGTGTTTTCAGGATGGAAAGAGAGAAACTTCAGAAGCGAAAATGTAAAAACAGAATATGGGTGATGAACTCATGACAGCCCCCTCAAACATTTCCTTTCCCTCCTTTCACATTTTGTCATTTCAGCATTTTCTTTGCATTGCCCATACATTTCTCTTTCTGGTTTGTTTACATGTGTTTTCCTCAAGCCATGAGATAAGGATTTAAAGGAATATTTTCCCATTCCTATTTATTACAAACCAGTAGCAAATTGCTCATTTCATAAGTAATTCAAGCCCAGCAATTTTTCATTAGCATAAGAATTTAAATTTCCCTTGTGCTTCATTGCAGAACTAGATTTAACAGAACATAGAATGGGACTTGGAGATATTTACTATTAATCTGTGAGTTCAAATGCAGGTGGGCAGAATCTGAGGTGCTGTGATGATATCCTTGTTCAGGAGCCTCTGTTGTGTTTTGGTAACCACCCAGAGTTTAATGATAAGGCTTGATAAACAATACAGTTCACCTGATGGCATATAGCTAGCTTATTTGTTCAGTCTCTGCAGACTGTTAGAAATGTGCACAGAGATGGTTTTCCATCCTTTTTTAGATGTAGTCCTCTCAGTTTAGCTGTGCTTATTCATAACTATAAAGGGACTCCTTGGTAGTCTCCCTGCTGTACACAAAACGTGGCTTGGAGGACTCAGTGATAACAATCCTGCATCCACTAGAGATAGCAAACATTGTAAATTAGGGACAGTCTCTTCTGTTACACATAGGGGAGCATAGTAGCATGAGATTCCTCATTAGCTCTGACCATAGAAATACAGAAAAATAATCCATTGCAGGGAGAGTGACACTAAATGACACTTGAACACCAGGACTTGAAAAGGTGTCAGTTTTTATACAAGTGTTTTATGTATTTTTAAAGCACACATATAGAATGAATATATCTAAATATTCATTGCTTAAGGTGCCTTTCTCTGACATCAAAAGCTGTGTGCATAAATTCCTGATTTTATGTGATAGCTTTCATTATCTCTCCATCTGTCTGGAGGGACAGAACTCCAATGCTCATTAGGACTCTCCCTTTAGAGGAAGCCAGGTGAAAAAGCTCTCGTCTTTTATGCTATAGTAGAAGGTGAAAATGTTACCAGATTAACAATTCTTTCCAGCAGTGCTTTGGCTAGTCTCACCATGCAATTGAAAATTCATTGTAAGCAATCAAGCCCCATTATTTCCCAACCAGTAATCTTTATTTTTCAGCCCCTTGCTCATCTGAAGACATGCTTGCTAAGGAGAGGTGCAGAGTCAGCAGGAAAGATGGGCAACATGAATAATTAAAATAGAGGTCAAGTTTACATTTGCTACTGGAAATAAATGGTTTGCACAAAAATATAATGAAACAGGGCATCAGAGATGCTCCAGAAGGACAGCTGTTATGTCTGGTGGCATTTTTCCCTCCAGGAGGATTGCTCATGACAGCATCATAGAGGTATTTGGTTTAGAATGGCAACCTATCGTAGTATGATTTTGAAACATTCTGGTGTGGATAACACTAGAGAAATGTGTTTGGCAAAGGTAGAAACTGCTAACCAGTAGCAGCTAACAAATGAATGGATCTGCAGTGTGCACACATGAGAATTACCTCATGGAAAAGAACATATTACACAAAATATTATCTCAGTGACAAAGACAAGGACCTAGGAATCATGAAATTGAAAAATTAAGGTTAGATTCAATTTTTAATCTATTTTAATCTATTTAATGCTATTAAATGATACCAAGTACTCTGTTTTCATGGCTTTCTTCTGAATTCGGTATTACAGTTGGACAGTGCATTTCTGTTCAGTACTTTTTCTTCCACTGTTCAATCCTTTTTATTTATTTTTACTTATTTTGCCAATTAAACAAATCTTTTGAAAAAAGATTCATTTTCTCAGAACACTTAACCTCCCAGCCTCATATTTTTGCAGATATTATTAAATTTATTTTCATTACCCACTCAGAGCCAAGGGCCCTGTTATCACCTTGTAGAGATGCAGCTGTGAGACACTGAGATTACAAAAATCTTATCTTGAATAATAAACTGTGAGAGATTTTAGAGACCTTAACTTCTCAGTGTGCAGAGAATTACAAAACACAAAGCACGACCAGTATTACTTTATTTGTATTGAGGGTTCAGCACCTCTATGAATCTTGAGTCTGAAAAAACTTCAATAATCTAATCCATGACTATACTACTGGCAAGACTAGAGTCCAGTTTTCCAAACCAGCATTTTTCTGTCTGACCTTGTCACTTTCTGTAACCTTCGCTTGGTACCTTCACATCTTTCAACACCTGAAACATGTAAAGCAAGTGTTTTGCAGGCACCTCTTCTTGACAGAAAACAATCCAAGAATATTCACAAATGATACAGTGACTTTAACATATTGAATGAGATAGGAATCCTGGAGGGAAAAAAATAAAAGACCATGTGGTTTTGCAATTACAGTCTGTCTCCTAATGCATTAGTATGAGAGGACTGAATAGGGAGCAAATAAGCAGCATGATCTCTCTTTTGCTCTAACTTCTTGATTGCTCTCGTACAATAATAATATTCCTTTCCCGTACTTCATACACAGTAAAGTACTTCCTCTACTTTTTTCACACAGGCCTCTAATGGAAGGGCAAGAGATTCCATCACCAATTATGATCATGTTCCATCAGCAAGGTGATAACTCCAGGCTCTCCTGGACTCTGCTACTGCCAGCAAGGGGGTGGCTGATCTTGGCAGCAAAGGCTCAGGCAGGGTAAGTCCCTGGAGGTACAACTAGCATGACACAGGTATTGGACACTCTGTACAGCAGATTGGTAGACTGTAGTTGTCAATCTAAATAAGGAGCTTATTAATCTTCAGGTTTTTGTATATTCCTCCACCCAACGAGTGTTGTTCTTCACTCTATAAATGACTGATGACTGACGATTTCACTTAAGAGCCAAAATGCCAAGGACCATACCTCAGGACTGGGACCATAACATCTATTATGCCCACATGGCCAACTAAATTAGGGCTACCCCAGCGAGCTCAAGCTGGATAGATGTGATGCTGAGCAGCAACCCGTGGCCCATATCTCTTTCACTTTGAAAGTGACCGGCAAATACCAGCAGGCCAAGGTCAGGTGAAAACGACTGCAAAACCCTGATATCTCCCCTTTTGAGCAAACAGCTCTGAACGAGCATGTCGATTTTCGGCACTGGCGCCGTCGTTCTGGTTATGCACCACTCAGGCGAACCGAAGTTCACTGTTACTTGTGGTGGGACGCCGTACAACCCTTCAGTTCAGGAAGGTGTTTCCCTGGCCAGCGACCAAGAGTCGCGGCGTGAGGGGCGTTCTCCGGGCACATGGCAACCGCTCCGCCCCCGCCCGCCCCGCCGGGCCCGCCTCCCCGCTCCAAGGCCGCTTCCTGCGCGCCGCCCCGCCCCGCTCCGGACGTGCGCGGCGCGGCCATGGCGGCTGTGGACATCCGAGGTAGGCCCGGGGCTCGGGCGGCGCTCGGGGCTCGCTCCCCGCGGCTTCGGGGCTCTGCCCGCCGGCCTGGGCTCAGCTCCGCTCGCGGGGCAGAGCCCTCCGCGGGGCGGCCGCTGGAGGGGGTCGGTGTGGTGGTGTGACGGTCTTTGGAAGCTGGAACGGCCGGGCAGTAAAGCTGCCCAAAAAGCAGCTTTCTTGGATGTGCGGCAGGCTGCGAGCATGTGCTCAGGGCCGCCTGGGAAAACAAGCTTCCTTCTGGTAGACTCTGCCTTTTCAGGGGGGATAAAGAGGTCCTGCAATGAGATGGCGACGTAAGGGAGCAGCTAAAAAAGAGAGTTCCCGCTCTGAAGTGTGGGGAAAAGTGGGAAGCCCTGGCTTGTGTGCAGGACTTGCACAGGACCAGAGCAGCGAGTAGGGCTGGTAATCTTAAGAGCACTTCAGGTGGATGTGGTGAGGCAGGCCACGTGTTAGGAAAGCCGGAAAGAAAGCTGAAGTTTTGGTGTGGAGGTGTGGAGTCAGGGATATGAATTAAGAGGGATTATGTTTTGAAGAAGTGATATTTGACTGAAGTGTTAAAGAATATTTATGTTGTAAACAAAATAAAAGTTAAATTGTTGTGAAGAATTAGAGCTTTCAGAGAAGTGGGGTTCAGAGTCCACAGGAAAGGAAGTTTTTTTTTGTCCATAAGAGTGTCTGGATGGAATAACATCAGAAGCCTGTGTGGTGGAGTCTCAGAGAATGACAAGAGCGGGTATTTAGGGAAATCTCATGAAGGGTCTGGTTTGATAATGTTTTCTCCTTTTTTATCTTCAAATTTTTAATGATTATGTGTAGTCCTGTGTGTTTTGCTGACTGCCTTCTTTGAGATTTCACAAAGGAACTAGGTAGACAATTAATGGAGGAGTGCTGTATTATTAGCTGCTGTGAGAACCTTCTGCCTTAATCCAGCTAATTTAAGCTCCCTCCGAGTCTTTTATCTAATATAGTTCAATATATTTAGTAGATATCTTACAGACACCTCCACCGCCCCCTTCTTCCTGGGCTTAACTTCACTCTGAAATTCTCTGACTTCTCTCCTTCAAGCGGGAAAGGTGAACAGGGAATGGGGTTGTGATCAGTTCATGCATGTTGACATTGCCACTGTCCTCCTCACCAGGAGGACTCTTGACAGTCTTCGCTGCTCCATGGTGGGATCCCTCCCACAGGAGACAATCCTCCATTAATTTCTCCAATGCTGTTGTTCCTAAATGGGCTTTTTCACCTGGTAGGAGAAGCCCATCTACACGACAGAGTTGAGGTATCTGATTTACTGCTCTTAAATCCTGTACCAGCCTATAGAGAACAAGGCTTCTTTACGGTATTAAGTTCATATTGATACTCTGAGCAGCAATCAGTACTGTGTCCAGGATGTTCTTTTCAGGTTCTTTTGAGGTCTGGTTCATTGCTAAGCAGATTTGAGCTTTCCATGCCTTTTTCTTTGAGATGCATAGCTATGCACAGTTCTCAGAAAAAGTTACTTGAGCATTCAGCTTGCATGGTAAGTCTTGTCCTGACAATGGAAGGGGACATTTGGCATATAGAATCTCATGAGTCAGTTTAGTATGTCCAACTGGGACAGTCCATGAGCTGTAAGAATGGCCATAAAACCCTTTTTCCCATTGCCCCAGCAATCTGTATTGTAACTTTACTAAGCAGGACCTTGCCTCTGTTTATTACTGAATGTGTGGCTCTGCTCTTGATCAGAAGTCTGTTCTTCCTTTTTCTGGTTGTAATGGAGCTATGAGGTCTGCCAGGAATGCCTTGATGTTTTCCACCAGTCCCCTCCTCTCACAGTCAGAAATAATGTTTACATCTAATTGTCCCTTCCTGCCTGCCAAGAGTACATTGATTCAGGCCAGAGGGTGGGAGCCCTTTCAGACCCCAGTGCCCCCTGCCTATTGCTCTCCTTTCACGTTCTTTAGTACCATTCTCTTCTTCTTCACTGTAAACAGGTATTGAATATAGCTTGCATAACTCCCCCAGTGAGGGTATTAGTCAACATGATAATTTCCAAAAAGCTGATACATTCCAGTAAAGCAGATTTAAGCCTAGCCACTTTGATTAAGTATTTAAAAAATGAATGGGACTCAGGTAGGGGTGAAGCTGATAATAATATTCCCTGAATTTGGGGAACAGAAAGGTTAGAAATTAAGGTAGAGTGTTGGATGATCAATGGGTCTACCTATGAAAAACCATCCCAGATTTCTCTGCATGACACATCAAAACTAGTAATGAAAAATCCAGAATTTTGCAGCTCTGAAGAATTGTGTAATTTTACTGTGGATCCCTTTGGGCCTACCCTCATGTGGGACTATCATTTAAATTCAAAATAGATACTGCTGAAACTACAACAACTGCATTTTCACCAATCCAAGAGTATTAAAATATTTTATCTCCACAAATTTTTGAAATCAGGCCATGTGTGATCTAAAGTACAGGTCATCAAGAAATTTTGTTTAATCCATCTTGGTGTCTGAAATTGGCAGAAGTAATAATGCCGATCAATATTCAGCACTTAAACCAACTTGCTCACAATTTTTAAGTACCTTCTGTGCAGGATGGTTATCTTGCTTACACAGGCAATCCCTCACTTTTCCAAAATTACCAAGATTTCTGCAGCACCCAGAGCTGGGTCAGGATGGACAAGTGCCCATTGTCACAGTGAGCATGGCCTCTGACCTGCCTTACCCTCTGGGCCAGCTTTGAGGCTACTTTGCCGAGGTGAACACGGCCTGGCAGCTCTGCAGGGCCTGGCAGCTCGTGAGGCTGCTTGGCCTGGTTTGTATTGCACTTGGCATTGGGAGAAATGTGAACAAAGTGCTCCAGCATGGGTCTCCCAGAGCGTCACAAGTCCTGCCAGCAATCCTGCTCCAGCTTGGCCTCCTCTGTCCAAGGGACCAGAGGTCCTGTCAGGAGCCTGCACCAGCGTGGCTTCCCATGAGGTCACATCCTCCCTCGAGCATCCACCTGCTCCAGTGGGGGGTGCTCCAGGGGCTGCAGCTGCATCTCTGCTCTGACGCCGGCAGTTTATACACAGACACAAATGGGATGGGGCTACCGGGATCAGCGTCGTGAGCTATTTTATTTTCAGCATCAGTCTCATTACAGGGTTATGGCAATGAAGAGATGCTAACAGCTCACTGGTCAGGCAGCAGGCCAAAGAAACTTAATGTTACAACATACCATAAATGTGTCTCAGCCAATTACATAGAGTAAAAGCATACTAACAGTAGTTCTGTCCAATCACCTTAAGCACACGTAGCTTTGGTTAAAACAATAGTGGCCTATTCTCAAACACAATGGCTCGTTTGTAAGAGACAACGAATAAAGCTCTATTTATAAGCATAACCTTCTAGATATATACTAAATAAACTTGTTGCAACTTAGAAAGCCAAACTACACAGCCTTATTGTTCTATTTCTCATGTCTTCTCTACAGCTTAGATACCTTTTTCTGCTGTGTTCGCACTTCACAATTCCTGCTGCATCTGAGGCCTGTCTTTTTCACCACCTTCCCAAAACCCTCTGGTTTTTATAGATTCCCACATGCTCCACTGAGGGGGACAGCCACGTTATGGTCTGTGCTTGTCTCTGTAGGACATGGGGGAGCTTCCAGCAGCTTTTCACTGAATCCACCTCTGTAACTCTCCCTACCAAACCTGGTCAGGCAAACCCAGTACCCTGTCAACCTACTTTACTGTTCCTCTTGCTTTGTCAGAGCATAGTGCTGGGCTACCTAGCCAATAAGGCCAGGTTCAGCACATTGTGTGAATTACTCTTCTTTTTTGCCATGGATTGCTGACTTATCTTCCAAATTGTCTTGAAAATCATGACAGATTTGCAGTATTGTTACAAGCACTTTACTTTTGTATCTGTGATGCAAATTCCACAAGAAATGCTTTGCACAAGATGTCCTATTTTTGAAAGGAACAGGGAAGGAGGAACACCATCCTTTCTTATACCCAAAATAAACAGTACACCCTTCAGTATGACAGGTTCGTGGTTTGTTTCATTCTTCCTCTCCTCTTCCCAAGAATAGTTAAGAGAACAGTCTTTCAACTTACAAAGGCAATTATAAATACTGGCACTAAGCAGCTGTGGATAATTGAGTGTTAGACTCCAACTTTATGTTCCATTTTACGATACATTTATTAGTCTACATACTGCATGATAGCTATATATATATATATATATATGTATCTAAAGCTCGCCTGACAATCCTCTAAGAAATGCAGGTGTTGTTAATCATACAAACAAAGAAAGTTTGTATTTGAAGTATAATGTGAGAGCTTATTATGAAAAGAATGCAAGTGCTTAAGATTTTTTGAAAGGTGAGCTCTTTTGGATTTGAATGGCATTTGGAATAAACAGCATTACCATGACTTGGGTGCTTAATAATGGATCTTAGCGCTGTGTTTCTGAGATTTCCTTTTCTGTAGTGAGGAGATAGAGAATAGTCTGTGTGAAATAACTTAAATGCCTCTAGACTTCTCCATCCCTTTCCCTGCCTTGCATGAAACAGTTGGGCTAAAAATTCTGACATTAGTAAGGAAAAATGGTTTACATGTAGCTATTTCTGTTGCATTTTCCCTGGTTTGCTAAGCAGGTGGTGTTGCTTTATAACGCTTCCTCAGAGAAGCTGCTAGTAGTGTATGAGCTGACATTTTTGAAAGCAATCTTATGATCCTCGAGCATGCTGAATTGTCACAGAAGTAAAATATTCTCATTGGTATGATAACTGGGAGTTCAGAGTATGCATATAATGTGTGAACTTTAGGGAGTGATTCCTGTGAGGAGGGAATTTGAGATCTTCAGTCAGTTTTCAGTGATTTCTCATCACTTAGGGGTTTTTTTAATCTAAACAATGCACGTCTCTTCTTACTTTCTTGTGTCTAGGAAATTCTGTTTGCTGCTGCTGTGATTTAATATCAGTGAATTTCAGGGTTTTTTCCAAGGTTCCCCCTGGATCTCCACTGTTAGCAAATTTGTTGCCTGTGGAACTGGTTATTGACACTGGTTTCTTTGATGTGCCTGAAGAACATTTTGCTGCAGCGTGATAACAAAATGCAGGGACTTTAATTCATATTTTCCTAAATCTGTAAGAATTTAACTGGCCTTTTATGCCTTGTAGCTTATAAAGTATGTTTATTTAAAAAGCTTGCTTTTTTAATATAATTGTTAGTGTTCAGTAGTTTGATATACCTGTAATATCCACTGAGTTATGGAACAAGGAATTTTCTGTAGGCAATTGGCAGATTAATTTAATAGTCGGGAGTAGAATCTCTTGTTCAAGGTTACTGGGAAGCATCTGCCCAAACATAGCATCTTTGTGTTTGCTGTTGTTTTTTTCGGTTGTGTTGGGGTTTTTTTGTATTGTTTGTTTTTTGTATACTGCTAAGAAACCTGCAGAAGGTTAAAGGTTATCAATTATTATTTGAACTCTATGAAATACTTCTTTCTTTTTAACCGGTGTGTTTGTGTTCCATCTCCTTTCTCTGCTGTAATTGTTAACTGCTTTTACTCTTGGATGTATTTGTAGTGGTTTTGACTGCTTTGATACTCAATGTAGATTTATTTTCCCAGATAATCTGTTGGGGATTTCCTGGGTTGACAGCTCCTGGATTCCAATATTAAACAATGGGAGCGTGTTGGACTATTTCTCAGAGCGAAGTAACCCTTTCTATGACCGAACATGTAACAATGAAGTCGTCAAAATGCAGCGGATGACCCTGGACCATTTGAAGTAAGTTGTTATTTGCATCTGGTTGATGTGCAGTATCCCTTGTCCCTCCATTCAGAGGCTTTGGTGACTGAATGAAAGCATGCTGGAAAGCTCATTCTGTTCTGTTTTTAGTCCCACCACTTTCCAGCAAGGCCAGCTTTTTCTGTATTTGGATGTTTTCTACTTCTTCTTATGCCGAGGTGTTGAGCTTGAAGGATTCTGTGTATCTTTTGAGATTCCAGTAAATCATCCTTTAGATATTTCTCTGACATAGAAAAGCTGTCTTCTCTCATCCTCCCTGCTCAACAGCACCTGAGTAGTGTAATGTAGTTAAATGTTTTTTCTGCGGTGAATAGAGTTTATGTTAGGGAATATTTTGAGTTCATAAATAGTTTGTGTTTCCATATACTGCTGGCCATGTGCCATAATTAGTACATAATTCCTCCAAAGAGCTGGCTTTTTAGTACAGATAATAAGAGTAGTGAGTGTTGTAAATAAACTGGTCACATATGGTTGTGTATTGAGATTGCATGTGCAAGTTAACTTTCTTTTCAGTTCCCCATCTGCTATGCTGAGCACAAGCGAGTTGTTTGAGAACTATTTAAAGACTCCACAATATGATAGGGAGTTTGCAGTCAGAGCTAGAAGTCCATTGGTAAAGTCACTTGTGCTCAGTGTGGTTGCAAAGAGGCCTTTACATCAGACACACAGATGGTCACATCACACACCAGTTCTTTGTTGCTGTATTTAAATGACATCTCCATGATGATAGATTGTTAACTTCCTTGCTATTTATCTGTTGCTAATATATTCTACTTGTGTTGTGTCAGGTTGTTTGTCTATGCACCTAGGGTTTGATAGCTCAGGAAAATCCTTTGCCTTTATTTACATTAATGTAATGTATTATATTGTATTATATTATTATGTGTATATATGTATATACATATATATATATAATTATATATGTATTAATATGTAATTATATTATTATTATATTATTATATTACGATATTATGTAATGTATAATGTATTATATTATAATGTAATGTAATATATTTATAATGTACTTATGCACATTATAAAGGGCTTTCAAAGCATCAGAACTTTGTTGGTTTATTGCCCGGCCCTTTAGTCACTCTTCATGTCCTACAGATTTTACTTGGAGGAAAATGCTTACTGTGGTTGTTTCTTTCTCAGCCAGATGGTTGGAGTGGAGTACATCCTTCTCCATGCTCAAGAGCCCATTCTCTTCATTATCCGAAAGCAGCAAAGGCAATCTCCAACACAAGGTACCGTCACTCACTTCTTGCCCCTGTTGAGAAGCCAAATCAGTCAGTTGTTTTTATCAGTTCCTAAACTGTGTCTAAGCATTTCTGCTTCCTCTTTTCTCTCTTAATCTCCACTCTAACTGGGAGGGTATGAGGCTTTGTGGTGGAGAGATCCTTTCTGCAGCAGTTCCCTGCAGTGTCCCAGCAGCAGGGAGTGCCATCTTGTGGGGAAATGGGAACAACGAATGAGAGAGTGCTGCCCTGTGCTACATTTTCCTACTGGAAATTGCTAATAGCATTCATTCCATTTATCTGTTAGGCCATGCAAGAGTGTCCATATCTTGTTGTGATGGAGTCTTGTGGTAACAGCACCATTCCTTCCTACAGTGTTATTTTCCAGCTTTTAAATCAAACACCTTAGCTTTTTTTCCCCATCTGCATGCAACTGGCTTTGTTATTCCTTTTTAACCTTGAGTTTGTTTGTGTATGTGTGATTAATCAAACATGTAGCCATATTTCAATAGTTATTGGATTATCTTATCTGTTTACTACATCTTCATATAACATAATTTAGGTTATTTCAGAGTAAGCTTTGTTGGAAAGAAAGGCAGGGTTAGTGCTAATTATTTCTTCTTTTTGTTAGGGGTTTAGGTTCTGTATATGCATTTTGGTCTTTACAGGGCTTTGCCTTGTCTTGTAATGTTTCTTATTTGCTTATATCAGATAATAGTCTGTTTACATTGCAGTTCCAAATTGAGAAAACGTGTATGATTGATTCTTTAGTATGTTGTTTTATTTCTTTATTAGATATTTTCAACATAGCTTCTAAAAGTGAGTAGAGAATTATTATACAGCCCTTAATTTCTGGCTTTGACACCTTTCAGATTGAGACTGGAGTTGGAGCTACCCACAGTATGTGTGTTTAGACTTGTGCTGTAAGGCAGATGTATGTTTGGTGGAACTTAACTGTTTTCCCACTGTGACTGTAAATTTTGTGCTGGGTACCTTAACTGAGTTGCATAGTTCCCTAGCTGAGATGTTACCGTGAGTTTTATTTCATCAGGGTACAAAAATGAGTGTATTTGAGACATGGGAATGGGGATGTTAAACTGAGAATTACAGAGTTCATAGCTAGTGTAGAATACTCAAATACAACTGATGCAGGCTTATCTCATAACTTCTGTGTGTTTTTAAAACAGATGTATTTATATTTGAAATTCTTGAAGACTGCTTGAAGTGATATTAGAAAAATCTTGAGATGAATGATTAGGGAGAGTTGCCTGTCTAGGAGAGTAGGCCCTGGTACAGAGCTGTGAGACAATAAAACTGCAGTTCTGTGTCTTGCTCCATTTGTAAAGAAGTGCTAAGCATCCTTCTTTTTTCAAGGAGAAGTGAGTACTGGTTGTAATATGCACCCAGCTGTCTGGGACTGCTAATTTAAGTAGGTGTCCATGCTTCATAAAATGCCAGTACTGGATGAATTGTTAGTAGAGATGGAGGAACTGGAACACATGTGCACAGGTAATGTCCTTAGGAATGTGAAGCTGGGAGCATTGCTATGGTTTCTCAATTGAACAATGTTTGGCAGAGTTACAGAGGCAACTGTAATGTTCCTCTGCACTGCAGCTCTAATGACCAAGAATTTTTGATTGGTCAGTAGAAGTTCCAAATCTGATTTAGCAAATGCCTTTGGAAGGTAGTCTTTTTTGGCAGAATGTTACTAATTTAGAAAAGCATGCTCTGTGTGCGCTTCACTCCATTGGGTCTGGGAAATCTAGCTGAGAGGATTGTAGAAGTTAGAGAAAACTGAGTCCAGAACAATGATATCTTACATTGTAGTGGGCTTCTATTGGTAGCCAAGGCTAGTGGAATTACTTCCAGAGCAGTTCACTTGACTAGTAGTAGCTCTAGTATACTCTGAAAACCCCAGTTCTGTGAAGCAAATCATTTGCTTGCAATAGGACAGGACTTTACAGCACATGCTGTAAAGCAGACATTGGTTTTTTCTCCCTTTATCAGTCTGTGCCTAAGGTGCAAATAAAGCACCTTGAAGGAAAAGGTTAACAAGAGAAAATTTTGTGATAAGAGAAATATTGCAATTTCTCAGTTGCTGCTACGACTGAAATTCAGCAACAAATACACAGTCTTCAGCCAGAGCTTGAAATTGATTCCACATTTTTCTTCTTTTCCTTCCCACAGTTATGCCATTGGCTGACTACTACATTATTGCTGGAGTGATTTATCAAGCACCTGACTTGGGATCTGTCATTAACTCCAGAGTTGTAAGTGTTCTGTGCATTTGATGCATACTGGTTTATATCAGTTTTTACTTTTGGTTGTCCCCCAGGCTGTTTAAATATCTCCTTCACTATTCTGAGGAAAGTTTTAAGTTTCTGTACCCTTACATGTAGTAAGGGTGCAGTAACTTAAAACAAACACCACTGGTTAATATTGTGTGCATCCCACATGAAAATGCAAGTTCTTGTGAGAGTGCAGTATTGCCCAGAAACTAGGATACATTGTTTAAGGAGGAGGGATCAGAATAAGCAAAGCTACAAAATTGGCAGAACAGCATGAAGTTTGAATAATCAAAATTTTAAAGTTATTTGACGTATGTATGAAATAGTAAATAAATACATAATCAGTGAAGCTTGCTTTGGAAAGTTAATGTTAAGCTAATATTATATTTATTTTTAAATGAGGCTTGTGTTTTTAATTGATGTGGTATTTCTTCTTATATTGGATGCTCAAGTTTATTTTGATTCTTTCTGTTCTTGTAAATTATTGGTTTTTTGCAAATTTTTCTCTGTCAGTTTAAAAAGGCACTCCAGAAGAGCCTTGTGAGAACCTGTTAAAGAAATTACATTCTCAGTTCGAAACTAGATATTCCAAGTTCCCTTCCCAGAACAAAAATTAATATAGAGTGTTAATTTTAAAATACCTATATTCAAAAATTTACATTGTGTTTTCTCCTTGAGTTGTGAACTCAGTGCCTTACATTCTTGTTCTGAAAGCTCACTGCAGTGCATGGAATTCAGTCTGCTTTTGAAGAAGCTATGTCCTACTGTCGCTATCACCCATCCAAGGGCTACTGGTGGCATTTCAAAGACGAGGAAGAACGAGGTATGATTGCTAGTTTCTCCTGCATACTTTGGGAGAGGAAAGGAATGTAGGGAAAAGCTTGAGGCAATGCACAGTGATGGTGGACAAGTGAGATGAAGTTTCTGAAGGGTAAGTTAGGTCACTCTACCAGGTGAAAGGAATTTTGCCCTTCTGTGCTGGTGGGAATGAACATGGACGCATAGGTGGGAGATGAAAATAATGATCTGTGTGTCAACAAAGTGGGCAACTCTTGAACCCACTGGGGACCAAAACACATTTTCAGAAGCAAACCAGTTTGTCAGGAGGTAAGAATCATCCTTAATCTGTCTTCCACCAAAAAAAACAACCTATGACAGTAAGAAAATGGAGGAAGAGTTCAGAGGAGAGACAAATACCAACTTGTCATACCACAAAGAGCTGCTAAGAGAAAATAAATTTTAATACATCTTTCTCTGATATTTCTGTGACTTGCAGAGAAAACTAAACCAAAAGCCAAGAAGAAAGAAGAACCAAGCTCTATTTTCCAAAGACAACGAGTAGATGCTTTGCTCTTAGACCTAAGACAAAAGTTTCCACCCAGATTTGTCCAGGTATGACACTCAAAAGCCACAGTTTTACTGTAACTTAGAACTTAAAAGACAGTCACATAGGTATTTAAACAGGGGAAACTGAATGGCAATTTTGTGTATTTCTGCAATAGTAACATGGATTAGACCACAAACTTGACATGGAAGGCTCATAATAGTGTGTAGGATCTCCATTTGTAATCACTGGAGTCATTAAGGCCTTGGCAAAACTATGAGAGTGAATTTTATTATACACCTTCCTTATCTGATCTCAGAGGGTCTGTTCTCAGCTATCTGATGTTGCTGATGCTTCCAGTTTCCTCCTTTGTGAACTCAATCAAGCCCCATCGCAGTATTTTTAGTTACTCCATTGTTCTAGAGACTCATTAGTTAGCATGGAAATTCTTGGCATTCTGTGAAGTTGTTGTGGTTACCTCTGATTGTCTTTGGTAGCCATTTGTTCCACCAAGTCTTCTGCTTGGGAGCAAAGGAAATTATGTTTACAGCATCTCGCAAAAGTGCTCCTCAGCCAGTCCTGGGAAAGACTGGCTAACTGCATATTTTTTTCTTTAATGTTTTTCACTTGTCAGAGGAAAAACTGGATGTTATACAATATTAACTGGATTTTGTTTAAAGTGTATATAGGGACCCATTCTACCCTCATTTCTTTAATATAAGAGTGCAAAATGCTTTTGATTTTAATTAATTCCTAAAATTAATGGCAGGAAGTGTTGAGAATTACAACTTTGGTTCCACTGATGTGTTGGTTTTTTTCTTCCCTCACAGCAAAAGCCTGGAGAAAAGCCTGTCCCAGGTAAGACTGTAATATTTTCACAAGACTTAAAAAATAGACTCTGTATGCAGTATCTTTCAGTTGCCATGTAAGCTCTTGCTGCTGCTGCTGTGAGGTGGTTTGGAATTCTGGCATTACCAAATTGTGCAAAGTAATGGATAAGAGTAGAGACTTTGAGTTGATCATAGGCAACCTCAAAACAGAAAATGCATGAACTGTATCACTTCAATCTCTTCCACCTTTTAACTGATATAAGTATGAATTTATTCTCTGCTTATCATTCTTACACCTTTGAAATGAATGTTGCCCTTGTGGCATTAACAATATTTTCTAAATACTCTGAAGAATGTTTTAGGAATGAAAATCAGAGGTTTAACTTTCTTTTCCTGTTACATCTTTAGTGGATCAAATCAAGAAGGAGCCAGAACCAGTCCCTGAAGCTGTCAAGACAGAGGAAAAAGAGACTGTAAAGAATGCTCAGAGTGCTGGTGCTAAAGGACCACCTGAAAAACGAATGAGACTCCAGTGAAGGGAAAATCTATTGCACATCTGGATTTGTCAGAACCTGGAAAACATAGGATTCTTGCTCTCTTTTCTTTATATTTAAGCTCTTCCACTGAGACTGATAATTCAGGGACTGAGATCCCTGTAACAGCTTTTTCTGTAGAAACCTCTCATGCAAATGTTAATGTCAGGATGTGAGATGCCTCAAAGGAGGCAGTCATCATCTTATTTGAATGCTGACTTCTGAGAATGGGTTTTACATGGACATGTTCAGCAGCCTCCTGAAGACTTTACAAACTCTTGCATCCTTTGTGTCTAGGTTTCCTATGTGAAAAGAAAAAAACCGTTTTATATATAAAAAGGAATTGGAATTCTTGGCAAATAAAATTCCTGGCTGCTGGAATGCTTTCCTTAAATGTATACCTTTTTAGTAGCAAAATATATCATATGTGCTGGCAGCTGCTTTTTTTTTTTTTTTTTCTTTCCTACTTGGACATTGGAATGTATTGTCTTCTATTCTGAGGAAGAAAAGTTAATTCACCCACTACAAATTGCTGTGCCTCTAGTGTGCTTGGGATAAAGATAGAAGATTTGCTAACTGGACCCTCAAATCCTTGTAGTTAGATGTCAGAAGGGTCTCAGTTTCTAGATATTCTTGGACAAGGATTTTACTTAATGGTTAAGCTGATAGTTTATTATAGAAGTTAGTGTTTTGGGAGAGAGATTTATGGTGTAAAACAGGCTAAGATTTCTTGATGTTGCACACTCAGTGAAGCTGTTTATATTTCTGATTTTCCACTGTAACTCAAATATATCAGTCACGTCTCTTCCTCTGTGCTCCTGGCACTTCCTTGTTCCTTTATTGGGCATGTGCCTTTCAGACTTGGGGAAATGGGACAGTGGAAAAGAAACATCACTGATACGTGTACACTTATTTAAGCATATTGCTTACATAAACCTTTTTTTTTTCTCAGAAAAATTAGAAATCATCTGTTGAAAAGAAATTACTATTAGTTTGCTTTTGGTTTTTCACTGAAGTAATGGAGTGAACCTTGCAATAGTTTGCTTTCTTTCCACAACTGTCACCTGTTTTCAGTAAGTAAACTGTAGTTAGCAAGAAAAAGGTTTGTACACAGCAACCAAAATGTAGATAGGCAGAAAGACTAAAGTATGCTTAGATAGCTGTGTCAAATTTATCTTCAGGGTACAAGACACTCTTTTTCAGTAGCTTAGCTCTCCAGTCAGATCTGTTTATTACTGAATGTTAGAAAGACCTGTCAGGTCTGTTTGTTACTGAATGACAGAAAGATCCATGTCAGTTTTGTCATATAATCCAAAGCTGAAATGTTAAAAGATGCAGATATGCCAATAGCTGTTCTCAGTTAATGCAGATACGGGTCTGAAATTCATATATTCATGTACTTGAGTGTGTATTAGGTTTATTTCACACCTGGATCATGTTTGAACAGCCATTTCTCAAAATGTTGATAGAAGTAGATACGAAAATAGTGTGACTATCAAATCAAGTGAAAATATAGAAAGCAGTTACTCTGGGATGCTCAAAACCAGACACGATGGTGTGAATATACTTAGAACAAAAGGGGTTTCATTCTTTCTTGTATTATAGAAATTCCTCTGAAAGCAAGTAGTAGAAGAAGCACAAAAGCCATTCCCTCATCCACCCCCATCAAGGAGATGCAGGATTTCCAGAAATAAGACATGAATGGTGAGGCACCTCAGTGGTCCTTGCTGTTGATGGCCAGAAAAAAGTCCTTGGAAATGGCCATTAAATGAGCTGAGAACCTGTATGTATTTTGGGAAAAGTTAGCAAGACAGATGACAGACTGCACTTAATGAAGATCTAGGGTATTGGGCTTCAGTTGTGTGGGGGTTTTTTGTGTTTTTCTTTGGTTTTTATTTTGTTTTGTTTTGTTTTTTGGTTGGGTTTTTTTGTTTTGTTTTGTTTGTTTTGTTTTTTAATGGAGAAAATTATCTATTCATGCACCAAGGAAATATTTAACACTACTAGCAGAAGAAAGCTTGCTTATTGGTGAAGGCACATAAAGCTGTGGCAAAAAATGTATGCTGCAATATAGTATGAGCAAAATATTCTATCAGTCACTGGACTTCACCTGAAATAAAGTGTGTTGTGCAAGTCAATGTCTGAAAAGGAATTTCCCTGAAGTAGAAGGGTTTGATTAAGGGCTGTAAAATGAGTAGGACAGAGTTTCTCCTATGATGGCCCCGGGAAGACAAATATTAAGTATTTATAAAACTGAGTAGTGAAACAAATAGGAAAGTAGAGGACTCTTGTTCCGTCTTGTAGTACAAGAAGAGAGGGACATGTAAATGAAAGTGAATGGGAGTTACATGTGGACTGAACCATTATACTCCATGCTCAGAATTTGAGCTGATCAGAGATAAGGGTGGAACATGAAGAGGCAGACTGTCCTCTCATTTATATCAGCAGCATTTCTGTCTTCTGTAGAAATGCCTGGTGTTGGCTGGTGTCAAAGGGCATTAAAAGGGATGTATTCCTGGTCTGATCCCGTCTGAGTTAAAGTGCCAGCATCTAAGCTATTGAGAGGATTGCAAATGGCTTCCATTCATGAAACAAGCATTTGAATGGGATAAACCTTTTCCAGGGGAGCAATCTTTCCCTAAGCAAACTACATTTTAAAACAGTAAGAGATGTTACCAGTGTGTTGATTTCCTAGTAGCTGTCCAGTGCTGAAGGTTTGCTGTATGAGGAACTGAAAGATCTGATCCTGTTACTCGCTGACCAGATATTCGACAATAATTTCATCACTTAAGTGAGCTGAGATATTAATTTACTGAAGTAACATTATGTCAGATATTACTGTTGAAATGTTAAGCAGATTCTTCTTGTCAGTAATGTTTTTCAGTGCATGAGAATCTCAACCTTTTCTCTCTTGGTATAGAGTCTGACTGTGAAGTCCAAAGTCTTTCCAAAGGACGTTCAGTATTTCTAGCTTGTAGATGAAAGGGAAAGAAGCAAGCACTTCTGAAATCTGTTTGTGCGTCACTTACTTCTGTATAAAGGAGAGATTTAGATGAACAAGAGAACTATCTCTACTTTTTGCTCTTAGTTAATAACCATTTAGACTTCAAAAGGGCTTTTCTTTGCCTAAATCATGGAGTAGCAGGAGCTGAAAATTACATGGAACTCTAGCAGAAACAATTCTCCTCAGAGCCTGAAAGTACATATAAATGTTTGCATACCCATGAACAGCTACGCATATTTGTATGTACACGTGTGTATGTGTACAAGTGCATGCAAAAATCCAGCCAGATTGTAGGAGAGGGGCCCTCTGTCTGCCTCAGTTTACTGTGTAAAGGTAATGGTGTCTCAGGTGCAGCAGAAACACTGTCTGTAATCTTTTCATTAAGTAAGGTCTGACTAGGCTATATGTTGCTCTCACACATTCCTCTTTGCCACTCTGCCCCCACACTTCATATTTTGGTAGCCCTTTCCTAGGAAAGAAAGTTAGATGCCATCTAGTCAGTCATTATGTTTTGTTTGCCAGAGCAAGGTGTTCTTGGAGCAAGAAGGGTATAGGCAATAGGAGGGACAAGGCAAAGGGGAGAGATAAGCTTTATACTAATACTTAGAGACCTGAGTATTTTCTACTCTTAACTGTATAGCTATGTTTATATTAAAAAAGGAAGTAAGTAGTAGGAAAGTTCATGTTGAGGGATGGAAGGGGTGATAAGGCATGACTCTTGCAAATTGGCAGAGTGATTTAGTAGGGTCTTTTGTATAACTTAAGCAGTGATCACACAGCAGAAGTTTGTATTTAAAAATAGCACTAGACTGCACGCAGATTATGTAACAGGATTTTCCCATTACTGTGGTCTGAGTTATATTTATTTCAAGAGACATAATCTGATGTAATACTCAATACTGAAATTCAAAACTGATAATTGAAAAATAGTGGACAAACATTCAACAACTAGCTGCACATAAAAGACCCCACCAGAAACAGTTCCTATAATTTTAAAACCAATAGGAAAATAAATCTAAGGCTAAAATAGATAGGTCATGAGTTTGGATGGATATCTAGAAAGATCTTCCTAGATGGATCCTAATAGAAGCAGGCATCCTATATTCATTCTTTTAAACTGAGGTAGTGTATTACAAGGTCTGTGCTGCTAATGCTGGTCATGCTTGCAAGGTACCAAACCACAGAATCAAGCACCTTTGGACAATAGTTGGTAATCTCCACAGCTGTTAGTTAGGCCTGCCATGTGCACAGCATAAGGTACCAGCCCTCTCAGGACCTTGGGGCATAAGGTAGCAGAAGGAGGTTCTGAGCATTCTGCCAGCTGCTGCTCTCTTTCTTGCCCAGCCTCCAGAGGGGCAGTGCCTATCTCCAGTAGTTTGAAATGTTAGGTGTTGCTGCCTGTGCCAGGGTGATGGCCAGCACACAGAAGTTGGTGACAAAAAGCAGGATTCCTGAGATCCATATGGGATGGTAGAAGGATACACCTCCTGCAGTTGAGAAAAAAAAGGGCCGTAGCAGGTTGGACTTCATCTCAAACATGTTTGCAGTGCTGAAAAGAAAGGAAAAGAAAGTTGTAAAGAGTTCCTAAAAGGTAATAGCTGTGGCTATGTTGAATCCCAGCACTATGTGCTAGAAAACCAGTGTGCATATCTGTGTTGTGCAGGACATCCTGTCTTACCACTACCCAGATCACTGTCTTATGGTTGTGTCTTGCCAGAGCTGTACCCAAAATGGGGATGGTGGTCAGTGGTAGATGTACCTGAAAGTGTTCTCTTTCCAGTGCTATGAAATCACAAGTCTTTAGAGAGAATATGATGTCCTCTGCTGCGTAAGGAAAATGGCTGCTGCATAAGTGCCGTCTGTAATTAATGTGCATTGTTGTACAGCACACTGTGGTGTAGATAGGGTTGAGGATTTTATACTTGGTACTATTAGTTTCCATCTATATTCTAGAACGTAGTGGAAGTGAATTCTCCCCTGGTTCTACGTTTTTTCTTGGAGGGTGTGTATGCTGTAGTAGGGACGTGCTAAGGTCACCAGAGGGAATATTTCTGTACTTACTCATTTCTGACTCTAAGCCTTAGCCCATTTCTGATGTCCACTCACAAATTATCCTGTAATAAAAACAGCAAAACCCAACCTTTTGAGATTTTTAGACAGATTTTCCTGCTTGTGATCTACCCAAATGATCCCTTTGCTCAACACAAACATCTGTGACAAGGTGTGTGAAGCTGAACCGGGGGTTGTCCTTGCTATGTCTGCTCAGGAGGAGAAATACCCATTAATTTGAAATTAAGATTATTAGAAGCTGGGAACGTGTTTGTGAGAGGCAAATTTACTGATTCCTTTCCACAAGAGCCTCTGTTCTGGCTCAAAGAGCACGGTGGGCTGCCTGGAGGCGCCCGGGCAGCGGGCGATGCCGTTTCCCGGCCGGCACGGCGGCAGTTGGAGCCTCGGGGCGGTTCCGCCCGGGCTGGGCCCTTCCAGGTTCTATCCCCGCTCGGGCGGGGGCGGCCGGTGCCGGCGGCCGCGATGGGGCCGCTGCCGGGGCTCCTGCTGCTGCTGCTGCTACTGGGCGTGGCGGGGTGCCCCGGGGTCCGGGGGGCTCGGCCCGCGGAGCCGCGCGCCGCGTGGGTGACGGTGCCGCGACAGCTGAGCCCCCGCGGCGGCGACGACGCCCCGGCCCTCTCCTACTGGCTGAACGTGGGCGGGCGGCCGCGGGTGCTGCGCCTGCAGCCCAGGAGGGGCCTGGTCTCCCGCCCCTTCACCCTGGTCACCTACGGCCGCGACGGGGCCCGCCGGGAGGAGCACCCCTTCGTGCGGGACAACTGCTTCTACCAGGGCGACGTGGTGGGGAGCCCCGGCTCCCTTGTGGCCCTCAGCACCTGCAGCAGGGGCCTCCACGGCGTGCTCTGGGTGGAGGACGATACCTACCAGATCGAGCCCGTCCCCAATGATCCGGCCTTTCGGCACATTCTCTACCGTATGGAGGGAGACAACAGCTCCGAGGGAGCCAGCTGCGGACTGACGCCGGAGGTGCTGCAGCAACAAAAGGCTGTGCTGCCGTGGTTTAAGGCTCCCAAGTCAGCGGGGGAGAACGAAAAGCTGAGGGACTGGTGGACGCACATCAGGTATGTGAAGATGGTAGTGGTCGTGGACCACGTGCGGTTTGTACAGTCAGGCAGGAGCAAATCCAAAGTCTTGAAGGACGTCATGCAAGTCATCAATGCTGGGGACATTTTGTGCAAACAGCTTTCTGTCCGGCTGTTTCTTATAGGACTGGAGATCTGGACTGAAAAGAACATTATAAATATCACTAACTCTATTCCGCAGGTACTTAATGCGTTTAACAGCTGGAGAAAGTCAGACCTGTTACCTCGGATGTACCACGATGTTGCTCACTTATTTGCATATCAGTGGTTTGGAAGCAGACTGGGATTGGCATATATAGGGACAGTGTGTAATATGCACTGGGCATCGGCTGTTATTTCCTTCACTGAGAAAAAGATGTTTTCAATTATTATCACATTTGTCCATGAGCTGGGCCATAATCTTGGGATGGTCCATGATAAACCAGAATGTAATTGCAGACGCAAGACGTGCATTATGTATGAGTACAATGCTGAGACTGATTCGTTCAGTGACTGCAGTTACAAAGAGTACTTTGAGCTGGTTGTAAATGGTGCTTCATGCCTTCGTCAGCCACCAGCGCTTGGCAGTTTCTACACCGGGATAAGTGAATACTGTGGGAATAAAATAGTAGAAAGAGGAGAGCAATGTGACTGTGGTTCAGCAGCAAGCTGCCGAAGGGATCCTTGTTGCCGCACAAACTGTACATTTACTGCAGGTTCAAACTGTGCGTCTGGAAGATGCTGCAAGAACTGTAAGGTCCTTCCAGCAGGAACACTCTGCAGAGCAAGTACAGGCAGCTGTGACCTGCCAGAGTATTGCAATGGGATTTCCCCTCAGTGCCCACTGGATGTATACCTACAAGATGGAACTCCTTGCAATGATGGTGTTTATTGCTATCGAGGAAAATGTTCTTCCCACAATGAAAAGTGCCAGCGTCTCTTTGGCAAACAAGCCAAGGCTGCCCCTTTAGATTGCTTTAAAGCAGTGAATACTCAAGGTGACCGGTTTGGGAATTGTGGTATTCGTGACAATATCTATTTTGCAAAATGCAGTACTAAGAATGTCTTATGTGGTAGGATTCAGTGTGAAAACATAGTCATAATACCTTTCTTGCAGAACCATGTAACACTAGTCCAAACTCCTGTTCGAGATAAAAATTGTTGGGGACTCGACTATCACATAGGGGTGGCAAGAGCAGATGAGGGAGCTGTGGAAGATGGCACACTGTGTGGTAGTGATATGCTTTGTATCAACAGGACGTGTATGAGTGTATCAGTGCTGAACTACGACTGCAACATGACAAAGTGTCATGACAGAGGAGTGTGTAACAATCGCAAGAACTGTCACTGTGAGTATGGCTGGGCTCCTCCATATTGTGAATCCGAAGGATTTGGAGGTAGTGTTGACAGTGGACCCCCTCCACCTAGGAGGGCTGAGAGAGCAAAAGTAAGACTAGGACTATTGGTGTTTTATTCTGTGTGTTTCACTGGAATAGCCCTTTCCATCTGTTATAGGCAGAAAGTAGAGGGATGGCTTGCAAAGATAAAAGCCCCATTCCATAGAATATTGCAGTTGTTTCAAAGACCAAAAAAAAAAGAAGTTCCTAAAGAAAAGTCGCCTGCTGGTAAGTTAAAATCCCCCAAAGATAAAAAAGCAGTATCTTGGGATACTATTGAGGAAATATCCTCAGAGCCATCTGATAACTCATCAAAATAATTCAGCAGGTTCTGAACAGCTCTAATCTCATGTGATATCATTAAATGCAGAGTAAATCTTATCTCTATATATTTTCTTTTAAGTTAATAAATGCAGGCAGTAAGGCATGCTGTTCTTTGTACCCTGAGCTCTTAAACTGATGTAGTTAAGTAAACTGCAGGTATTGTGTTTATACTTCATATCAACAGTATAAAAATGCAAACTTCTTAAAACAGGTGTAGATAGATGACTTATATGGTAGGATTCAGTGTGAAAACATAGTCAAAATACCTTTCTTGCAGAACCATGTAACGCTAGTCCAAACTCCTATTCGAGATAAAAATTGTTGCGGTTTCAACTATCACATAGGGATGCCAAGAGCATATGTCAAACTACTTACTACTCTACTTGCTTCAATTTTCTCCTTCACCTAATGTTTTCTTCAATTCAGTGAGAGAGATGTTTATGAACATTGTTTTGTTAACAACCAAAGAGAAAAAATTGCACTTGCAGTCTCCACTGGTTCTGTGTCTCTATTTAATTCACATCTATGACACACAAACAGGTAAGGAACAGGTATTGCAGTGAGATACAGCTGTCTGTTTCACAAGTGCTTACAGCTGTTTACAGGGAGCAGCCCTTCAGGAGGGAGGTAGATCATAGGGAACAGGGTCTTCCTTTTGTGGAAGAGTAGAGAAGGATTATCCAGATCACAACCAGTAAGCATTGCATTTCTGAACTGTAAAATATATGTCAACAGGGTAGTGACACCAAATCTGGCATTTCACAAGAACAAATAGTTTTTATTTCCTGGAAATTTTCCAGTGTCTAGACTGCTGACTGCTTCTGAGAAGTGCTGTGTATTTTATTGTCTCTAAGAGGAGCTGTCAGTGGGGCTCCCGAAGTTAACTGAATTTCTAAAGTATTTGGAATTATTCTGCAAGTGTCTCCTACCTAGAATACCTGCAATATTTGATAGATACTTTATCTGACTATCTCAGGGGGTTTCTTTTGGCTTATTCTCTGATTCTTTCTTCAGCTATAACAGAATGTGTCCTTGCAGCTCTATGGAGTGCTACACAGGAGCATTGTCATTTTAATTTTTTTAACACAACATAAAATATGTCTAACTTCTGAAAAATATTAGGGACATGGAAATACCATTCAGTAAGTTTTATTGTTATTATTTCTATTACAGTAGTAACTAGACCGTTCTATCAGATCAGCATTGAGAGGAGTCTGTTATCCAGATCACAGTTAAAACTTTTTTTTTAAAGGTGTTTCAGGATAAAGGGCTATAATGCACTTGTCTGCTAACAAAAGAATTATCTGTATTTAGAAAATAAAGAGCACACTTTTAGCAAACATTCTGTAAAGGCAGGATAAGTACCCCAACACTTGGGAACACTTGGGAAGAAAGATATTGGTGACTCTACAAATTGTTATGGTCAACTCTTGCTGCGTCCCAAATATATATGTTTTTAGAATATGCATTTTCCTGTAATTTTTTATGTGTATTTCTTTGGTGTCCTGTATCCAAAAAGGGCCAATTATATTATGATGGGATGTGAAATAGAAAGCATGTGATTCACAGTTTTCCCCAGCTTTTTGTGTAGAGCAAATGGGTCCTTAAATATTTATCTATGCTGTTGCAGAAATGAGGTAACACATTGTTTGTTTAGGCTGTGCTTATTGTCATGATAGAACATGGATGGTTTTGATTAGATGATGAAAACTTGATCCTGCATTTATGTCAAAAGGCAAGATACTGCCCTTGACTAACACCACATCTATTCCTCATGACCAGAGACCTCCTTTGGGGGTTGGGGGAGTGGGAGGGGTGTCCTCTAAGAAATAACAATTGTAATTCAGGTGTTGCAAACAAGGGATCGAAGACAGACAAGAGAGTTGTGAATTAATTGAAAGATGGAGATAAAAAGTAACAAAAGCACTACACCCAGCACCTTCCAAGTACCTGTGCACATCTAGTACCTACTAAAACTTTTTTTATTTTGCTTTTTAAATACAAAAAGAGTGGCAGAAGTTTCAGGTTGCTACCTTGATGGCCTGCTGTTGTTGATCAATAGTATACTATAAATTTCCAAGTATGCTCTCTCTGTGCTGAGACAGAGAAACACTGGAGTCAGGGAGTTCTTGTTTACAGAGCTGCACACTGAGGAGACAGAGGTGTAAATGAAAGCACAATTTAGCCCAGAAAGCTTACTTGCAAATGCAGTTTTGGGAAAAATAAAGTAATCAAATGCTGTAGGTTCTGTTTTTCTCTATGCTTAAAGATTGTTCTGGAAAACCAGGACCTCCATAACTGGGAAGAGGCTTTCAGTGAGCTTTGGATAAGAGTATTTTTGTATATTTTTCTCGCATTTCTTCTTGGGCCATATGAGCAAGACAAACATGTATCTCAACAAATCCAGTTTATGTTTCATAAAATGTGTAAGCTCCCTTTCTGAGATTTTTCTCCTTGAAAATATTAATATTAGTATTATTGAGAGTTGAGAGTAACAGAACTCAACAGAAACAAGTGAAGCACAGTACAATTGCTCACCACATGCTGCCTGATACCTAGCCTGTCCCAGAATGTGTTGGGCCCCCTTACAAATATCTTCCCCAGCTTATATACGGGACATTCTGTGGTATGAAATATCCCTTTGTCCACCTGTCCTGGCCATGCTCCCTCACAGCTTTTGTGCACCTCCTCACTGGCAAGAGTATGAGACACTGGGAAGTTCTCAACTTAGGGTGAATGCTACTTAGCAACAACAAAAAAATCTATCACATGAGTCACGGTTCTGCTCATCATTGCAAGTGTAATTGGACCTTGAATGCCTGTCTCCCACCTCTGAGGCAGGTGTTCTAACACTCAGTTTAGCACTAAGCATTAATGTTGTAGCAGTCAGAGATCCAGTGCCCAGGTTGTCTCTCCCTGTTAAATTCAGGAATCCGGAAGTGCAGATAATCTTGGAACGAATGCAGTCAAAAACATCTGTTGTTTTTACTGCAATACCAAACAAATAAAATGGTAGTATAACATGGAGGACCAGATAAACTGGTCCTCATTTTCATCAGAGAGGTTCCTGCAGCACGTAGATGTGGCTGTCCTCATAGTGCCAAGCAGTCAGGTGGTTCGACTGACATTGTTCCCTGTTGTCATTGTCTATATTGATACACTTATAGCATGTGCTGAAAGAGATAAGGATAAATTTTTCCTTGCTATTTCCTGATAATCTATTGGTTCAATAAACCCTGAGGTGCAGAGTTCCAGGTTCAAGTGGCTCCTCTGTTACACAGCAAGTTGAACTACTTAGCCCTTTATTGCTGGGTAACTATCTAGCGTTCTGTAGAGTTCTGAGGAAATTTCTCAAATCCTCAAACCAAACACCTTCTACAGGATCTAGTTAAGTATTTCTTGCCCCAGCGGCAGCACGGTGTTTCTATGCACCGTTTGTGTTTCTGAATCTAGATCACTTTATTGCACCACAGGGTAACTCGGCGTTGGCATGGATGTTCTCTGTGCTGCTTGCCTGTATTGGGCTTTTGCTCCTGCCCAGCATGGTCTGATCTGTTTTTCAGTTTGCTGTGAGGACAGTTAAAAGGGCCGGGAACAGGTCATATATCCCCCGTTCTTCTCTCCTACGCCTACCCCAGATAACTATGGCCTACTCCTTAACCTTCCTAGAGGAAACCAGCTCCAGCCTGGGGAGCAAGGCAGGGCCAGGCACAGATGCCGCGCAGGGGCCTGGGAAGGTGCGGGGGCAGGAGGACGCTGTGGTGCGCTGGGCTGGGCGCCCCTGGGCCCGCTGCTTTACCGCCTCTGCGGTGAGCGCCGGTGGCGGCTCCAAGCGCCGGTGGAAGCAGCCCCATCCCGCGGGGACTACAACTCCCAGCGCTCCGCGGCGCGGCCCGGCGGCGGCCCAGGAGGTGAGAGCGGCTGCCCCGGGAGCCGAGTTCTCCTTCAGGCCGCAGCATGAACGGCAGCGTGGCGGGCGGCGGCTACGCCGAGGAGATTATCCGCCTCACCCGCAGACCCTCAGGTAAGGCAGGGGCGGCCTCTCCGCGCTGCGTCCGCGGCCCCTCCCGGGCCGGGGCAGCCGCGCCGAGGCCTGCGGAGCCCCCGCCGAGCCGGAGCGGAAGCCCGGGGTGGCGGCGGCCGGCGGGTCGGCCGTGACCGGCACCGGGGCGGCGGAGGGAGGGTCCCGGCAGCGAGGATAGAAGCGCAGCGCCCAGAGGTGCCGGGCCCAGGGGCCTCCCCTGGAAATAGCCGTGGCGGATACCCTGCTGCGGGAAAAACTCGTGAGGGAGAGCTGGCCGGGTCAGAGTCCGTCCTCTGCGGGAGCTCCGGTGGAGGCTGGTGTCCCTGCGGACAATTCGCCTCCGGTTTTCCCTGGAAGTTGCCGTCTCCGGTGGAGCTGTGCCGCTGAGCGCCCAGCCGCGTTGGACACCCTGAGTGAGTCAGGGGCCATTCGGAAATCATGTGCCCAAGTGGCCGTCCCCTGTGTTGTCAGCTTGGCGTTCATGGTGCCGCGTACCTTGAGACGCTTTGTGGTGTTTAGAGAGAGGAGCATAGGCTGGAAGGAATAGGGAATAGGGCAGTTCGGTGGGGCGTTTTTTGGTTTTGCTTTTCATGTCTCAACAGCAGGTGTGCTCATGGAAACCGTACATTTTTATAGGATTTATGGTGCCATTCAAATGACCTCACTTTCAGAAGTGAGGCAAGTAAACGCGAAATGTATGACTCTGGAGCAAAATCCTGGCTATAGAGAATGGCAGGCTTCAGGAAGGCTTTTGGAGCTAGAGTTGTACTTTGGTGTTTGAGGCCTTCTCTTTAATTTAAACGAGTAGGAACGAAAACGTGGCAGCCCTTCTGTTCTGCACAACTGCTGGGTGCAGCTGCTGGCCAGCCTTGGCTCCAGGGGCTCCCCAGAGACCCCAGCAGCCGCGTTGTTGGTGGGTGTGTTTCCTTTCTCTGGGGTGGAGGTAGGTCCCGTGCAGGGCTGGGGTTGGTC